TAGTAGCGATCCAGGTGTCAGGTGACCTGCACAGTTGGTAATCTATTGATATGGTTTGTGATGTTCGGGACATGGATATGGTTCTTCAATGTTCCTTGCTTGCTTCCTTTTCAAGAAGTCAGGAATGTCCTGGCATGCTTAGGACTCATGAATCTCATGCTTAGGCAGGTCCCAGTCTGAACTGCCCCTGGAGATCATAGCCCTTCTTATCGTTGAATCGTTTGCTGCCGTTCAGCTCTTTAGCTATGTAGTCCCGACCCTAAGCACTCCTCATGCCGAAACAACGTTGTGTTGCATTCACCACTCTTCTTCCTCATCCGGGTTGCTGGTTGCAACCTGTGCTATGGCAAAAAATGTGTGTGTGTACATATATCAGGGAGCTACAGTCGCCGGCGACCCGAGGGTATCCATTTTCCCCAGTTCAACAGGGTAGCTGGAACTCCGAGGTATACATAGCTGTCGGTTGTTCCTCAACCCCGACAGCTACTGTAACACTGTAGTGATCTGTGTTAAACCCTAGGGATCCACGTACCTTCTGAGAAGGTGTTTGGGCTGGGTTTGGAGGGTTCAAATACCTTCTGAGGAGGTACTTGGATCCCTAGGGTGATCTGTGTTAAATATAGAGAGATTCCCTGGCCCTTGCGACTGGTCGATGTTTCTTCTGGAGTGTCGGATATGTTTGAGCGATTATAGCTGCACCCATCGACTTATACCTGGTTATCCCTGGGGCTCCAACCACCTCCTGAGGAGGTGGTTGGGGTAAGTTTTGGTGGTCTAACTACTTTCTGAGAGATGTGGGACAGGAGCCCTAGTCTGTGCATGTTCCCTATTTGGATGTTGGTCACCCCTGGTCGTCTCGATTCGTCTCGAGTGGATCGTGTTTGGACCCAGGAAGCCGAAGAGGAGCGATTGGCCGAGGTGCGCGGGGGTTGACGGGTCCGCGCTTCAGCGGAACTGCAGCGGACCGCGGGAACGTCCGCTGTGTTGGATGGCTGGGGGGCTGGGTTTGTAGATGTTTTTAGGTCCACATGAAGATATCAAAGGACTTTTGGATGGGTTTTGGTGATTTGGTCCCATATTTTGTCTCATAGACCATCGCACCGGTCCACCGGTTGGGTCGCCAAAGACGGTCGTTTTCGGTCGGTCTCCTGGTGCCCAGCTACACTGCTACACAAGCGTCCTCGAATCCAAAAGAGTTCGCACAAGGTTCCGCACAGGGCATCGCTACTAGTGACAAGAAGCCATACTAGTAGCTAAGGGCATTACTACTAGAAAGAGCTACTAGTAGCTAAGGGCATAGCTGCTAGTAGCAACGCCATGCTGTTCTTCGGCTCAGGCCATTCAAGCTGCGCGGCAGAAGAAGTTCGGTGCCCAGAAACGAAAGGATCGAAACAATCAACGACGGCATCGGGCGCTCCCCGAAAGTGCGCCGAACTCTCACCTGTCCATGGTCTTCCGGGCCATGCCATCCAGTTCCACGCTTTTCTCGCGCCCTCCGTCGACAGCAGGGCTCGGGCTACCGAAAACCCTGGCTGCCAGGGGCGACACCGACGGGTTCCGCTTCCGCCGTTCGAGGGGCCGGAGGCTGGTACGACCGTTCAGACCGGTCAGACCGCAGCGAATCCGGTGGGGAAGGGTCGCCGGCCGGCCTCGGACCGGGCCTTCGCCGGGCGTTCAGGAAGGATCGCGAAGGGGCGATTCGACAAGAGGCGCCAGACGGTTCTGCGCAGTTGGTTTCGGTGTCGTTTTTTACGCACATAAACATCACATGTGCAATGTGCATGCTTTAAAAGCTATCGTACCATGAGAGTTGTTAATAGTTGTTGTTTTTCTTAGTAAAAGTACAATCACGTCATTTGTGTTCACAAGCTATCACATCATTGTTTGGGATTGCCTTTTGGCCGGTTCGAGCTGGGGGTGGGTTCAGCGACTTGCGGCGCTTGCGCCGAGACTTTCGAGACTGGTTCAAGTCATTCCAAACCGGGATCAGATGCTGTGGTAGTACATGGTTTGTTCATTGGTGGATGAAGCAGTGTGTATTGGGGTGTTATGACCCACATTTGCAGGCAGAAGAAACCATTCCCCATCAAGGAAACTACATGAAACTACATAATACATATCACTACCGCATCTCACTACCGCTACACACATCTCAGATCTCACTTAGGATATAGCTCACGTGCACTGACACGAGTCATGGGACATCAATCGCCCTGACTATTTTTGGGTTGTGTATTTCTTTTGCTGGCTTCCAAAGAAAAGCTTGTTGTATATTTCACCGCCAAGAGTAGGGAGTCATTCGCGCCAGAAAATGGACAAGCAGACCAGACAAGAAGAGCTGGACATGTCTCGCCAGGGGGGCCTGGACTTGGGGAAGCATCGGGGTATGATGGTGCTTTGTTATCTTTTAAGATGAGATACATTTGGAACATGGCAGGTGTCCAACACAAGGGAACTAATAACCTGGTTGCCCAAACCAAACCAAGTGTTCGGTGTCCCAACAAGCAGTGCATCCAGACTGCCGCAGGTTTTCCTTACCTGGTGCTTTCGTTGTGGACATCAGTGGGATCAATGGCGTGAGCAGCCACTCCAAAAACAAAAGCTATATATATATACTCCCAGGTAGAGTCTGTCTAGCAGGCATTTTGACGGTTCAACTCCAGAACTATTGCGATGCAGTACTTCATCTAGAAACAGCCGGCCCTGGTCAGAACCTCATCTTCTAGACACTTCTCCCAACGCAGACTAGCTGCGGTTGAAAGATGTTGTTCCTCCTAGAAGCATCATCAGGAAACCTGCAACCTGGACTCTCCTCAATCAGTTCCTGATGAGTATGTTTCCAGCCACAGTCACGAGAATATGTTTGCCACTGACATTCAAGTCACAAGAATAATTTTTGACTTGCCAAGTGAATCGCAATGAGTTACAAGGACAAAGGGTGCTTTATGTATACTTTGATTCGTTGGAACCACTGGTGCAAAAAGAGTAGGGAGTGCCAGATCTGGGGAATGAACTTGCTAATAGGAACTCTGCCAATTCAACTTCCAGCAGAGGTTGAAGAACAATAGTTCGACTATCCTAGTTCGGTACCCCTGGTGACGGGTCCTATTTACGGTCACTGGATACCTCTGTAGGTCAAGCCAGATCAACTATATAACTGCTTGATGCCAATCGACCGGACTCTCTTCTTCGACCAATTCCAGCTTGAAACATGTGAGATCCCCTGGGTAGACTCTTCGTCTATTTTCCTTCTTCCTTGGGTTCTTTGCCTAGAAGTATATGTCAAAACACACCCTTCCAGAGGCTTTCGCAGTTCATCCCTTCGTCCAAAAAGGCGTTCCAAACCCACCGTCGCCCGTCGCAAGCCGCCGTCGCTGCGCCGCTTCCGCAGCGTTCCGCGGGGGATCCGAGCCGCTGATGCCCGGGCCATCGGGCGCCCGGCAGCACATCGCCGCCACTCTGCGATTGCCGGGGCACCCGGATCGGGGGGGTTCCAACTTGACATGGGCTCTACACTGGCCTACATGGTTCCTACTGGCCTACATGGTAGAAGTGGGCTTTACATGGCTTTACGATTGGCAACTAGGGTCACAAGAAGCTCCTGGCCATGGCTTACTCCTTAGTGATCTGAATCAGTGAACATCAACACGAAGTGACTGATGCGTTTTAGGGCTTGGCGTCGCTAGTGGTTGTGGTGCTGCGCATTTGGTATCTCCCAGCTGCACATTTTGGTTCTTTGAGGTCTATTTTAGATGTTGTGGCCGAGCGAGAATTCGATCATCCACCATTCAATTACATCATCCACTCCAAATTCCTTGGGTCCATTTCGAAGCGAAAGCTGTGATCGTTGGTGTTTGGGGTTTTCGGTGCTCTGGCAGGTTTGGTGTGGTTCGGGTGAAATGGAATGATCTGGAGTATTCACTATGCGACTTGACGAGCTGATGAGGACAACAAAGTTCGCTCGTATTTCAAAAGGTTGCGCAAACGACTGCCATGTTGTTTCTCTTGATGCAGTGTATAGCAATATAAACTAATTGATTTTGGGAAATATTCACCACCCTGCAACAATGGGTTCTTATACATTTCTGGGAGCCATGAGCAGTTTACGACCAGTTTGTGCAGTTTGGGAGGCAATTGCATCAGTTCAGGACGGCTGTAACGTGATTTCATAGAGATGTATCTGTATACAGTATACATCCTTTGGTCTATTACATGATCCTCTCATCTATAGTGGCCAGTTCTATCGAGTTCCTATAGCTATTTCGGCACCTCTATACAACCGCTACAGATAGAACTGAGACGAACAGATGCTTCACGTGCTTCAGTTGTCAGTTTCAATGTTCCCCTGTGTCTCAAAAAAGGTGTCTCAGCTGTTCTCTTTTCACCCCCAGTTCTCGGATGTCGCAAGCGAACTGCCATTGGTCCAATTCACCCAAACTCACCGCAGCCGCCCCCGGTTTGTTCACGTTCGCCTCCTACCCACCGGTGCTACCCATCTCGCCACCGCGCGTCCAGCACCGACCTCGCCGCGCGGCGTCGGCGCGCTCGGCGCCAGGTGGGTGGACCTGTCCCTGTCGATCCTGAACACCTTGGGCGTCGGCCTGGCCCTCCCCATGGCCTCCGAGGCCTGGAAAATCACTTCACCCGGTCGCCGTTCGACCCGAACGGGAGCGGAGTGGGGATGACGAGACCTGTTAAGTGAAGCACGGTGGACTCGAGTGGCGGTATACAGAGACAATCAGAGACATGTTTCTTCGGCCGGGAGAAGGGTGTTCCTGTGGCCAGAGGCTTTTTACTGAATTCACATCATGGAAAACATGGGCGTGTATTCTAATAGGGAGACACTCCCACCGGTAGACTTGCTTGTTTCCCTTCTTCCAGAGGGCCGTTGCCTGGGAGCTCTCCCTATTGAAATATACTCACATCCATGTTCAGCAACAGTTTTGGACATTTGATGTCTTCAGAGGCAGAGATGATGTCAACGCATTTTGCACTTTCTGAGATACTTGGCTCTCAGCGCGTTGCCCCCCTTGTGAAGAACATTCGAAGCTGTGCTACGAGCGATGCTGCGCTTGGCAGTCTTGCTCCTGTGCGGGCTTAAAGGGTTTGGCTCCGAGCTGTGCCTTGAGGATGGTGTGCCGGAAAGTCAGCGAAAGTATATCCAGGCAGGCGCTGTGAGCGGGTTCTTGTCATTTGTTTTCTTATGTCCTCTTCCTTTCTGAAAATACTCTTTCTCTTGCCCTTTGTCTCGTGGAAAGTGTATCCGGGCGCCGGTTGTAGCTTGCGATGTTTGTTGCGCATGCGCGATGCCTTCGCGGACTCATTTGTTGCTCCCTCTTTCAGGACTCCATACGGACTCGTCATACCTGTTTATATACATGGGGTCTGTCCGAAATCACAACCCTTTAAGGAACTGGCCAGGTATCAGGATAGACACCATGCTCATGTTATACCCTTCCAAGTGCCCGAAACATCTCAATGCCCCGGGTCTCGGGACCGCTGAATGAATTGCTCGGATTGCGCTTTTTGCTTCGACCTGAAAACGGCTGGTTTCCTGAAAACTGGCCAGTGAAGGTCTCACTCTGCTCATGTTTGGCAAATCAAGTGAGTGGCACAGAAGCCTTTTGCCACTGAAAAAGAGCAAATTCCAACCACGAACTGCAGGATGAGATAGATACCAAGCAAACACTTTTGCGCAGCTCAAGGCGTTTTCTGCACGCAGCCTCTCTACTGCACGTTCTCAACGCACCCAGAAACCACGACGGGCGACTTGCAGCCCAGCCCGTTGAGTTGACCAACGACGCTTCCATGCCGAAGACATGAGCACGCAGCACGGAGGGCAGGCAGCAAGCGCCAAGCACAAGACATGCACACCATAGGCAGCAACCGATGGCAAATGGTCAAACTTTATCAACACACCACGCAAAAAAATCATCGCAGAGCAACACCAGGCACACTTTTTACAAGACGACAGCACTTAAGCCAACGACCCAGTCATGGCCGTGGTAGTTCTGGTGAAAAGCTACCTCAGATCATGAAGAGGGGAGTGCTGCCCACGTAAAGAGTGGACCCATGACGTTTCGGTGACGTTTTTTCTGATCGCATATGCATGTGCCCATGCGGGCACAGAGCTATCATATACCAAACATGACCTGCCGCAGCCCTGAAGCCATTTGTCCTTCGCCTGCAGCTGCTCAAACAATGGGCCTATAAATCCAAACAGCACTCCATAGACTGTCCCTAGGGCTCCAACCATATCCTCAGAAGGTGGTTAGACCCCCCAAACCCACCCTAATCACCTTCTGAGGAGGTAGTTGGAGCCCTAGGGTATGATTGTTTTCCCATATTTACTCCTGTTCAACCATCCCAATGTAGATCGCCAGTCCCATAGAGTCGGACACAGCTGATGCAGCGTGCCGCTTGCGGTTGGTTTTTTTTCCTCCACACGAGATGAAAGCGAGGTCCAGGGCAGTCTAGAATGCCCGATTCAAGTGCAGCAGCCACGGGGTTAGCAGCGCAGCAGCAGCTTAGGTATCTTAGGTGCACCCTGAGCGTTGGTAGCAGTGCGACTCGCTGGTGGTTTTTGGGATACGTCATTTAAATTGGAATTCCCATCACGAAGAGTCGTTGTTTTGTCGTTGGTAGAAGCAGCCACGTGCTTTTGCGCCTGTTTCAAGACAGTGATGAGTCTTCTGCGTGGCTCTGTTTGATCCTAGTTGGCTGAACAGATATCGTTGTATATTATGGTTGGCCTCAGTCGAACACAGACGAACTGTCAGCTCTCAGCAACAAACCCGGCACCCATATTTCAGCAGACACAAGAGAGTTATATACCCTTCCTCCAACGAACATGGAAGCGGGCAATCCTCTGTTTGTAGAGGACAAGGGTCTTTCCAGTGGTCATAGATTCCTTTTCCATCCTTTTCCATGATTGTTGGAGGGAACATATAGATGTACACACTCAAGGCAGGTGTGCAAAGATGGACGTGCACAAGTTTTCGAGCCAGGCTAGGAGACTTCATTGGTGTTTGGGGTATTTGTGTTCAGTCTATTTCAGGATGGTGCAGGCATCGACATTCCAATCGGAATCTTTGAGAGCAATTGGGCTTCTTCTTGGCTGCTCAACAAGTTGACCGAAATGTTGGTTCAAGAAGTGATGGGCTACCATGCGAAGGTTGATCCTCGCATGGGCGCCAATGGAGCGTCTTGCTTTTACGCGTTGCCCGGGTGCATGGATTTTGACAACAAAATCGTTGCCGAGAAGCAGTGTGGAATTAACGAGACCACGCTCCATATCAGCGTGGACTCTTGGGTTGGCAGCTACGCTTCAGCAATGGATCAATTCAACAAGGAATTCCCCAGAATTGCATCGGTAGACTTGGGCTCCATGGGTTATGCAGGTGAGGAATCCATGTACGTGAGCCAGGCCATTCTGAATGATGCTTACGGGGATTCGGGTCTCGCCCTTGACTTCTACAAGAGTTGCTTTGCTGATGGGAGTGGCCTGAAATACGAAACGGGATTGTGTTTACATGCAGAAACAATATAATTGGATGTTTTTTGTTTTTAGATACATGTTTTACATGACGCTTAAAACGCTTTGCTTCAATCGAAACGGGGGACCGAAACGAGGGGATACCTTGGACCGAGCAGCCGCTGAGTGGCATTTCGTGTCGTCCGCTGAGTCCACCCGAACTCTGCCGAGCTCGGACTCACATCGGGACGAAGTCGACGAAGGACGAAGTCGACCCCATCCACTTGGAACTCCTGACATGGAACTCCTGGGTGGAGCTCGGCAGACCTCGAACATCCTCTTCCCCTCTTCCAGGAAACCTTTGTGAAAATCACCCAAACCCTACCAGTCAATGTCCTCATTTGGCTCAAGTTGGACATCAAACAACTAAAGGCTTTTGCTGGTTTGGACGGGACATGTTTCTCACCTCAACCACACGCCGCTTCGCACACCTTTGAGACCCTTTGTGGAATCTTCCTTTGGCGACCCGCGTGTGTGTACAGTACAGTAAGGTCAGGACTATTCTTTCCTGGCGTCCCATGCACCTATCACACAAGCATTGCAAGGACTTAAGACGCTTAAGACCTCAGTCAGCATTGCAAGATTTGCTGACTTTAAGCATGTGTGCCAAGTGTAAATGTTGCATGATGTTCCCAATGTAGGCACGAAGCCATGACAAATCGTGGTATAGGAGGTCATTTGGCTGAACAGATTGAGGCTACAACACTACGCATCACAATCCGAGGAGACTCACCTGCTGATTTAATGATGTGTTCAAGTGTTTGGATGATTTTTGTCCCAAACAAGTCATGTGTTCTGACAGAATCTACGAAGATTTGCTTACATTGCATGGTGTCGGGCTCATGTATGTAGGCAAACCATATGTTGTTGATGAATTGTGAATTGATACCAAACCATGGCAGTGTTCCAATGTGTTCCAATGACCCATAATGACCCTATTCTACTGCCGTCCACACCAGGAAATATTTTGATTCGATTCATGACGTGGACCTCTCGGAATTGGAAATGTGCAACGAGACGGACATGAGCAGCATGGTATAGCATCAGCTGCGACACCTTTGTTCTTCCAAGTTGGTCAATCCCATGTTGGATGTGCTTCTCCGGGTTTCTGAAGCAAATCCAAGGCAACCCGAGTCGAATTGGAGACTATGCCAAGTACTCTGGGGACTATGATGGGGTAGTGAGCCAAGCAGACGGTACGTTTGTCGCCAAGTGCACAGACAACCGCTGGTGGTATGCTCCTGCTTGCAGACAAAATTCCTCCCAGTGCATCCCTCTATTCACGTCAGGCAATCGTAGTTTTGCTTAGGATGCTTTTATTTTCCCATATCTTTCCTAGGGGTAAATCCTCTTGTGGGGAAGGTGTTTAAGGTTTTCCTACTTCTTTATATAAACAAATTCAGGCAATGGTTGGAAATTGCAAGCATTGATGCAGTGGTCCACTGCCTACGGAATGCCAACAGCTATTGCACTCTCCAAGGGGTATTCCACATGGATGAAACATGTGAAGAATCATCGTGCCTTGCACTACTGGTGGGTTCCAGATTCAACCTTCATCGACATGCTGCCAGAGCCTTTGACGTTTGCGCGTCACAGTGCGACTGAGTGGTTAGAGGGAGACAAGAAGAGCGGAGCAAAAGGAAGCTACGTGTCCAAGTTGGTGAGTCACAACTTGCAAGCCAAGGCTGGCAGGGTACGTGAGTTCCTTGGCCTGGCGCCAGGGGGTGTGTTGGGTGTGAAGTGCTTGTCCGCCTGTTCATCCGCCCGGATGTCTCCTGAGTCAACGCCCAGTTGATCCATTTAGGCAAATATATGACCAAACATTCAGAATTCTTCTATAAACCAGGCCAGTGTAGGCCGTAGACTTGCTTAAGATGGATCCAGGCTGGTTTAGGGCGCTGGGTCCGCCGTTTCAAAGATGAGTCTTGGATCTAGAGGAGGCTGCTTCCGAAGCCGAAGCAGTGGCGGTTGGTTTGAACCTTTTGCGGCGCGAACGTTTCATTTCACTAAAGAACTAACATACCCAAAGGTTGACCTTGACCTTCATTCACCTTATTTATGTTACTTACTTTATAATACTTTATAATACGTTATACATCTTTTTACTTTTTAATGGATGCCCCGATGCCCTACAAGAAACTGGCTGGGTGAGGGAGACAGAGTTCCAGGAACGCACGTTTGTTGAGCTTACAAGATTTAAAGCCCGTGGTTTGGTCCCTTCTCCCAAAGAACTATTTCCCTCACAGGCTATGGTTTTAGTGGTGGATTTTTAATAGAGATCCTTTGGTGCGGTTGAATATAGGGAAGGGGATTGAGTGGGACTTCGATGGTTGGTTTTTGCCTCAAAAGGATGTCGGGCTGTTACTTTCCTTGCAGCGAGCCCTCTCATGGATTGTTAATGTAGTCCCTTGATTTATAAACCCCCCCCCTCCCCCCCCCTCAACAACCAAGGCCTCCAAAATAATGTATAAGACAATCAATCAATTGATAATTAAATAAGGAATCCTTAGCTAGCTACCTCTGGAGCTACTCTGGCAATATTAAAATAAAAGGAATCAAGAAAACCTAACTTTGAAGACATCTGAAATATTTATTACAATAAAAGGGAATGAATCAATGGAAATAGAACTAACTTTTTAAATTTCAATGGACATCTGAATCCAAAGACCTGCAATTTCAATGGTAAGTAAAGCAAATCAAAAGGCAAAGAAAAGGAATAAAGATTTAAAGCCTCAAATCTCTAGACATTATTCTAGGGGCCCCCCCTAAATAATGTCAGAAAGCTGCTTGCTGGACAACCCCCTTTGCTTGAATGATTTTTTTTGTTTTTCAATACTTTTGAAT